TACCGCTGGCCGCTTTGTGGTTCACCAATGTATAACGCAACGTGTTCGGATACGTAATAACAATGTCATATGGCATTTTTCACTGAGGGTCGGGTTGTACGAAATAATTAATAGATTACTGACACAGTCTTGTTGTGTGTCACGGAAATGAGTATAAGATTTTCAGTGATATGTGCCTTATTAAATAAAACGAGGATTTGGAAAATTTGGAAAACGTTTCAGAAATGACGTCCGACCGATGAATTCATTATCACAAATTTTATATGCTCTAAAGAACACCGACGAGACTACTGACTTCTTAACATACAACGGATGATTTTTAAAAAATGAAGGCAATTAGCGGTGTGAGTTGGTTTACGGTAAACCGAAAATTTACACTAAATAAAACAACGTCGAGAAAAGGTCATTTATCTGTCATATGACATTGTTTTTTACTTTTAAATTGGTGCGAGCGAGGTTGTTAAGTCTTCTGAAAAAATCTTCGAAATCTTAACGGTTTACTTGCCACAGAGAAAAAATATCATCAACATAAGTCAAATCGTCTAAAAGGGAGAACAGACGGAAGTTCAGATTCAAACACCTTCATGTATAAGTTCGCAAAAACCGGGCTCAGGCTACTTCCAATCGCGGCACATTAATCCGCTTTTAAAATTCGCCGTCAAAAGTAATGCATTATTCGTGACACACATACGAATGAGATCAATAAAGCAACTGACCGGAAAAGGGATCTTCTCAAGAGATGAAGAAAATTTTCTTTCAAGAAAATCTAGTACATCGTCAAGCGGGATATTAGGAAATAGGGAATCCACATCACTAATTTCTTACTTTCTCCATGAAATCCATCGGATGTTTAACAAAACTATCAAGAAGGGTCCCATAAAAGGAGTTATAACGTTCGCTAGCCAAGAGTCTAATAAACGGGTAACTGAGTTACAAGACAGAATAATAGGCCTTAGAGGGACGCCCTGTTTATGTGTTTTAGAAAGGCCATGAAATGCGGAATTGAGGTGTTTACCGTTCTAAAGCGATCAACAAATTTTAGGTCAGGGCATTTAGCAGCAACAAGTCTGAGGTTTTTATGAAATGATTCTGTGACATTGGCAGAAAGGTTTTTGGTACGCTGAGTTGTCGCGCAGGAGGGAATCAGCTTTGCGTTTATAATCAGATTTATCAAGGATAACAACGTTATTACCTTTTTCCGCTTTGGCAATTAAGATGTCCAAATTGCGTTTAAGTGATTTGGTGGCCAAAAATAACGTCGGGTAAGACTTTGAAACTATTAAGACCTTTAATATAATCTAAACAGTGATTAGTGCCGGGTTTGGTGGCAAACGATAAACTAAAATCTAAAAGTTCGGTTTCATAACGCGATAGGGAATAAGACGAAAAAATTACGACCGAATAAAAATACGAAAATTACGAAAATGTACACCACGCGCTACGTGAATAAAGATTATTAAATTTATTGTGTAGTGATCTTTGATGACGTTCGCTTTCGAGGGAAGATCTACGCGCCGCAATGGCTGAAAGACCGCCAACAAGTTTGGGTGACCTCATAGCATTCGAAGAGACACAAACTTTAAGAAACGCGTCATCATCTAATTTAGCGCAACAAATCCTATTGTAATAGCGGTGACACTCACAACTGAAAAACGGAATGCCTAATATAAAACTGTAAAAATAATGGCCAAAAGAAGGGGGACTTGCTTGCTCTTGTAAGCAGTCTTGCAGAAGAAACTTGACCTGGTTCTTTCTCCTCCTGGAGGAAATTGGAGCTTGTTCATACTGTCTAAAAGGACGTGCACGACGTGGCGAACACGAAGAGCAGTGTTTGTGTTTGTGTGTGTATATATATATATATATATATATATATATATATATATATATATATATATATATACACACATATATACACACACACACACACACACACACACACACATATATATATATATATATATATATATATATATATATATATATATATATATGTGTGTGTGTGTGTGTGTGTGTGTGTGTGTGTGTATGTATATATGTATGTATATATATATACACGCACATACACACACACACACACACACACATATATATATATATGTGTGTGTGTGTGTGTGTGTGTGTGTGTGTGTGTGTGTTGTGTGTGTGTGTGTGTTTGTGTGTGTGTGTGTGTTTGTGTGTGTGTGTGTGTGTGTGTGTGTGTGTGTGTGTGTGTGTGTGTGTGTGTGTGTGTGTGTGTGTGTGTGTGTGTGTGTGTAAATCTATGTATATATGTTCTGATATGTACAACACAAAAGTCGCTGGAAGCCTTCTACCCAAATCCACGCTGGAGAGTTCTAGAAATGCTTTGAGCAGTGGGAATAACGGCGAGGCAAGTGCATTGAGTCAAAATTAGAGTACTTTGAAGAGGACTTGAGTTTCAAGTTTATAAAACCTAATAATACATTTTTACAGTCATAAACAACACTTATACACAACATACATATAAGTGCACATGTAAATGCGCACCACACACACACGCGGAGAGGGAGAGGGAGAGAGAGAGAGAGAGAGAGAGAGAGAGAGAGAGAGAGAGAGAGAGAGAGAGAGAGAGAGAGAGAGAGAGAGAGAGAGAGAGAGAGGAGGGGGAGGCAGAGGGAGAGAGAAGGAGAGGAATAGGAACAGTAACAGGAACAGGGAGAGGGAGATGGAGAGAGAGAGAGAGAGAGAAAGAGAGAGCGAGAGAGGGGGGGGAGGAGAGCGAGAGAGGAAAAGGGGGGGGGGAGAAAACCTACATGTCTTGGCTGCAGTTTTGTCAATTCTAAAGTCCTGTTGTCTCGATCAAAGACTAAATTAAGGATGAGTTTCGATATATTTGAAAACAATAACAAAAGCTGAGCGAGTGTTGGAAAGAAAAGAAATGTAATACGAAGGCATCGGAGGAGCTTAAGATCCAAAAAGATACCGTTACATGAAATTCGAATGGCTTTAACAATGATCATTGACAAATCGAAGTCAAGTTTGTGTTGCATAAAGATGTAGCTGAGGAGGCTGAATAGAGACAAAAGAGGAGATCCTTGCTGAAAAAGATCCTTGCGAAAGTGTTCAGAGAGATAAGTGAATATCAGTATGTAGGGTGAAAGGGCGAGACTGCAAGTTAAAGAGTTTGCTACAGGGCCCAGTCATGAGTTCATGAGGGAGGGTGACTCCTCGACAGAACAGCAGTGGATCTGACTTCGTGAAAACATGATGGCAACCTCGGTATTTGATTGTGTTCAGATTGAGCTAATAGATATTTCCATTCGCAAAGAAAAAAAGTGCTGGTATCAATGGCAATAAACAACAAAATATATCCAGGAATGAGCTCATCTCATCTATATAAAGGGAAAAAAAAGAAACCTCAGAGTTGAGCTAGTTGAGATGTTTATGTCAAAAAAGAAAAGAAATAACAGTGGTAATAAACAGCAAGTACAGGTGACCTCGTCTTAAGAAATTCAAAGTGTGAAATTTTTAGCGGCCCATGCCTTGAAATCAAATATTCGAAAAACGCACCGTCATCAAAAGAAGTTGCGAAATAAAGCCACGCGACAGAACTGCAAAATAAACTTTATGCCAGAGATTACCAAAATCCTATATCTACACGAATCTCCCCATAGGAGAGCATTGATGTTCCTTACATCTGTATAAGCGTTTGTATATGCATGTTACTTGGATCCATTAACGAAGTCATGCTACCACATTGTTTTGTAAAAGTGTGGAGAGGCCGCACTCCCGAGCTGCCTCGTTGAATTTAACAGCACACTTGAACTCATGAGGTCAGTGCGGAAAGCCTCCTGTTGGTTCTCATGTTACTTCTCATGTACGTGTAAATATATGTATATATATATATATATATATATATATATATATATATATATATATATATATATATATATATATATATATATATATATGTATATTTATATATATATATATATATATATATATATATATATATATATATATATATATATATACACGTGCGCACGTGTTCATCGGAACAGTATATTTTCTTGGTAAATCTGAATATCACGGCTGCAAGAGAATAAATCTTAAGAGTGATTTAATCTACGACAAAACCAGAATTAATATTAGTATGGGATGAGAGTGAACCGAATGAAACAGAAAAGATGACAATATTGTTAATCCCTTTCGTTACCCACCAATCCCTTGAGCTCCGAGTAACCGCTCACCGCAAATAAACACTTATTTAGGTCAACCATTTACCCTTGAACTATTAGAATACCAGCATCCTTCAACAACTCAACTACCATTCATCCTACACCGAATTAAGTACCACCTATCCTTAAAGTTTGTAAATATCTATTGATTATTCAACCACCTTGCCTATCATGCAAACTTCAAAACTGACCATGCGGTATTTTTTATTGTTCTTCATTTTTGTCTATTATTATTTATTCATCTATTTAAGTAATCTATATATCTAGTTTTTCTATTCATTATCTATTTTTCTATTTTTTTCACTTATTCATTTTAGCTTAATTATACATATTTTGTATTTTTATCTACCTCCTTCCATATGGACACCAAGCCCATTGTATTTCATTAAATGCACCTATTATGAATGTTGTAGGAAAGACCTCTTCATAACTGGCTCTACGGTATTTTGCTCTCTCTTCCTTATCATTTATTTATTCATTCAATTCTTATTTATTCAATTTGTACATTTTTGTTTTATCATCTACCTTACGATCTCGCCCATTGTTAAGACATCGTGTTACCGGAGAGCACTTTCCATAACTGGCTCTATGGTATTTTTATTCTTTGTTCCTTTATATTTAATCTATTAAACTTATTTCATTCATATAGTTTTGTTGTGTGACCTACCTGCTGCCTTATGGACATCACGCCTACTGTAAGGTGTCCCATTCAATGCACCTGTTGTGGATGTTGCAGGAGAGCCAACGACGGTAGAGATCGACATCGAGGTCAGGAGCATGAGTCGAATCTCCGAAATGGACATG